GAAAATAATATTCATTTGTTTCTATCACCTGAGGATGTTTTATAAATCGGGAAGAAGAAAAACTTTCACTTAGATCAAATTATTATTTCATTTACCACAATGAACATTTTTTATTATCATGTTTGTTATGTTTGGGTTCTAGAACGATCGATAAGACTCTCACGTTGCGATTGATCTAGAAAAAAATATATAACTAATGGTTGTCAACATTTTAAGCATAGCATAGTAAAATGTGACCTGATTTCAATAAAAATCATTCAATTGTGTAAAAGTACATAGGATGTTTTGTGAAAAAATTGTACGTGATGGAGAAAATGGACATCATTTTCGGATTCAGCGTACAGGAATTACTGTAGAACATGTAAAAACTTTCAATACAATAAAACCATCGCAGACCTGTGTTATGCTAATACTTCATTTGGAAACTAGTCTGGTTTGTTTGTTTTTTGGATTTCGCGCAAAGCTACACGAGGGCTATCTGCGCTAGCCGTCCCTAATCTAGCAGTGTAAGACTAGAGGGAAGGCAGCTAGTCATCACCACCCACCGCCAACTCTTGGGCTACTCTTTTACCAACGAATAGTGGGATTGACCGGCACATTATAACGCCCACACGGCTGAAAGGGCAAGCATGTTTGGTGGGATGGGGATTCGAACCCGCAACCCTCAGATTGCGAGTCGAGTGCACTAACCACCTGACCATGCTGGACGGAAACTAGTTTGGAGAGTAGTAATTATGTTAATACTTCATTTGGAAACTAGTTTGTGAATTATATGTGTTTCGAAAAGGTTTTTACACAAAAAACAAAATATCGTAATAAACATGTATAGTTTTTACCCGTACTGTTGTGGAGAGGAAAATAGAAGAATTGTAAAGAGAAGACTATATTGTTCCTGCTTTATTCTTTTCTAACTTGAAATTTTTATTTTATGATTATTTTAGTGAAACGTGTTCTTCTAAAATCGGACTTCCCAATGGCTACAACAACGTATGTGAACAGAAATATGTTATTGCTAAAGCCTTGACTTTCTCTTCGTCAAGACTCCAGACAAGTGACGTTTTTATTCCTTCCTGCTGTGCATGTTACTTGATCAGCTCGTTTTGAAATTAACAACAATATTCAAGAGTTGTGTCGAAGCCTTTTATTAAGATTTATTTTGTTTAATAAAGCAAACTGTCGTAGAAAACATTTATTCACATAAAATCTTATTGGTAATTTACTAAGTCTATTCCAAGAAAGTTTCACTCTCATAAAGAAACAAAGATCTGTGAGTTCTTCAGTAACGACATACATGTTTTCGAAAACTCATGGAAGTATCTAATCATTAATTTTTTTTGAAATCGAAAAAGTATTGTCGATTGTAATGTAGATGATCAACATATTCCAACAATATTCACTGACACTATCGTCTGGTAGAAAAGTAACTAGTAGAACAAGAACATTTCTTGTACAACAATTGTTGAAGAAGTAGCAACAGCGAAACGTTGGCTGAAATAAAACTTTACTTATTATTATTATCTGAAGAACAAAGGTCGTTTTTTATATCTTTATTTTAAATTGTCTAAATCTCTCCAGTATGCATTACAAATTCTGAAAGAAAACTAACTACACAAACTTGTAATTCTACATTGTTAGAATATTTAAACCATACCGTTTTATGTTTACTACAGCGGGTGATTTCCTAATACATTTTGCTGTTAATGAAGAAAATATATCTTGACTAAGCCTTATAACGTATGTATTATACCTTTTTCTTTTACAAATTCTTGAATCTATCACGAAAACGACAATTTAAACCGGAGTTATTTTCATTTACTACAAACATGCGTATAAAATGAACACTATCAATATGAATTAATATCATAAAGTAATCAGCTAAGTAAATGACTTTATTTAATAATTATGTATTCTTATTTCAAACTGAAGCTACGAACCTTATGAAGGTTATGTTCAGAGAGACCAGTGACAGCAAACATAACAATTAACTACAGTATAGTTAAGGTAAAAGGCATTAAAGAAACCTTCGACTAAACAGTATCAAACAACTGTTGACAGACATGATTTAAAAGTTATCTTCCATCCTTGCACATGAGATAGATAATTACTTAGACTGAAAACATTTTCTTTGGTTATCCCAGTCAGGTTAGGTAACAATCAAATGTTTACACTGGTGATACTTGGGGGTTTCTTTCCAAGATATGTTAGTATGACTGTTTTTACATCTCCAGTATGACTGTCTTTACCCTTTTGACTGTCTTTACACCTCCAGTATGACTACACTTATATGGGATGTCAGAACTTCCACTACATTGTTCATTTTTGGAAACTCTGTATTTATAATATGTATCAAAGAAATCATTCTGTAATGAACTGTATTTTCCGACAATAAAATATTGGAACAACAGTTATGACATTTTAAGTATATTAAATGCAAATTATTTATAATTTAATCTTTGTATAGATTCGCATCGACAATCAGAACAGGAACTGCGGTAGAAAACTCAATCCCATTTAAATGGTATATCAGTTTGTTTAGATACTTTAGGTTTCATGTAAGTCGACCTTTGAATGTAACATAGTCTACAGCTACTTGTGAACTCAAATATAATAATCAGCTTTATTTAACAGTTCCAGTTTGTTGCTGTTTCCAATAAACTTTGTAACAGAAACGTTTTGTGTTTATACGAGGAACAGAAGATATTCGGGTTTACCCAGTATTTGATGCTTATTTTATGAGGTTTATCTCGTATTATTTACCGTCATCTTGTTGGAGTTACAATATTCGCCGTATATAGTCTCATAGAAGTGATATTTACATTTCGTAAAAGACAATAGTAAGTGTCGAATGTTTCTTGGAACTCACCAAATGAAATACCTAAGAGCGAGTTGTTCGAACAGTATTAAATTAAACCTGTACGAAGAGAAATTATAGATATATATATCATCCATAAAGAGGACGAGTGAATGCGTTAAATTTGTAGATTTCAAAGAGGTATGTAAAGCATATCACGCTTTCAAGTTGCACCAAAAAATTGTTATGCTTTAAACGTTTAGTTTCATTGATTGATTGATTGTTTTATAGCAAAGACACATATTTACTATATCTGCTATGTTAACGCGGGGAATAGAACCCCGGATTTTTAGCGTTGCAAGTCCGTAGACTTACTGCTGCCCCACCGAGGGACTTTTAAACGGTTAGTTATGTGCTGTAGAAATTATAGCACAAAATATTACCAGATTTGGGCTAAATCCAAACATAGCGGTGGAAACTAAACAAGGTTTATACTATCTGCATAATATCATCTATAATTGATGGCACATAGTGAGTACTAATAAGGTTCACTTTTCGTGAGGTAGGAGGAGTACTATTATATACATTAACTTCATGTAAGCTATCAAGTAAGAATGTGTTTCTTGTACTTAACTATATAAAGACAATAAATATATTTTATATTTAGGATAGTGAAATACACACATTTCGAAAAAATAGACAATAACCGTCAGTCGTTTCCTGAACTATCATCACACTCCTGACAGTACTTAAACATATCACACTCCTGACAGTACTTAAACATATCACACTCCTGACAGTACTTAAACATACATTCTGTTTCATTATACTTGTTTTATTGTTTTGTCGTTTCCTGAACTATCAGCACACTCCTGACAGTACTTAAACATATCACACACTCCTGACAGTACTTAAACATACATTCTGTTTCATTATACTTGTTTTATTGTTTTGTCGTTTCCTGAACTATCAGCACACTCCTGACAGTACTTAAACATACATTCTGTTTCATTATACTTGTTTTATTGTTTTGTCGTTTCCTGAACTATCATCACACTCCTGACAGTACTTAAACATACATTCTGTTTCATTATACTTTTTTATTGTTTTGAATATACGGATTTCACGGTTCTTCTATTAGAAGAAATACTTACTGTATAGCATGAATATCATACTTAGAATTACAATAAACAGATGAAGAATGAAACTGAACATTTCATACACGTTTTTATTCATAGTGAAATAACTTCAGTAAGCTAAATGGATCTAATTTTTTAAATATTTATAAAGTTTTATTCCCTGTAATGAATAGCTTAGCATTTATAAACTTATAGATAGTTTTGTACGATAATTCAAAATATGTAATTCGGGACTGGTCCACTGCATATAGTATAGCAAAATAACGGAATTATTCCGTACTGAATGATTTCCCGTAGACGAATAAAATCGACCAGGTCCGTTCTTCCTCTTAAAACTATATCAATATGTTTTGGTCGTCATTGGTGTAAAGAATTACTGAGGTTTGTTTGTTTGTTAGTTTGTAACTAAGCACAAAGCTATATAATGCGCTATATGTGCTCTGTTCACCGCGGGTATCGAAACCGAAGATATACCACTGTGCCACTGGGTGGGGGGGGGGGGCAGTACTGAGGTCAACGAAAACTAGTTTGAATAATTAAATATATTTTATAAAAAAGTACTTAACAAAAAATGATCATGCTTGCTAAACGTTAAATTATTAAACTTTTTTTAGTTTGAATTCTCATCTGTCTACAAACTTTTAGTCAATAATGCAACGATCTCAGAAGTAATTAAGAAAAGGGATTTTTTCATAGCTTCATGCTCGAATATTTTTTTAAGGTCAAGAAATTTAAAAGAAAACAAACAAATTATTAACAATATGCTGATTTCAGTTATAGACAATACGTCCCGAAAAAGGAATGTATAGAGAAATAATACGGACGTATGAAATTACGTAGTTCATCTAAGCTGACAATCAAATTAAGGATATAAAATGCACTTGATTAAAGATAGATGAAAAGCTCTAGTGGACTTTGAATTTGTATTGTTTTTTTGCAATATTCGATTTCTTATAGAGATTAACAAGAAAGAAGAGTTCACAAGAAGGAATTTGTCTAAATTATCTGAATACCTCACTGATGTAAAAAAAAAATAAGATATAGGAAAGGATCTATGAAAATTTAAAATGAAATTTTACTTATAGATAGATGTAGAAGGCGTGTAGAATACGTTATATTACAGAAATTGTAATGTTCATTTTCATATTGTGAGATAGTTGTCCATGATGATGAATTTGAATAAGTTACGAGAAAAAAAATACTTCTCTATGAATATATATCAATTAAAACAGGGAGAAGGAAGTACATTCTGAAAGAGTTATAACTAAGTTGTGTTTATTAAATACACATAATGCATTTTCTTCTAAGGTGTAATCACAAGACTAATATGATGCTAAACACTGGAGTGTAAATAGTACCAAGCGTGCAATTAGTAATCCTGGTTATGATGCTAAACACTGGAGTGTAAATAGTACCAAGCGTGCAATTAGTAATCCTGGTTATGATGCTAAACACTGGAGTGTAAATAGTACCAAGCGTGCAATTAGTAATCCTGATTATGATGCTAAACACTGGAGTGTAAATAGTACCAAGCGTGCAATTAGTAATCCTGGTTATGATGCTAAACACTGGGGTGTAAATAGTACCAAGTTTGCGATTAGTAATCCTGGTTATGATGCTAAACACTAGAGTGCAAATAGTACCAAGTGTGCAATAAGTAATCCTGGTTTATATTTGTAAACGGTCTTCAGAAAGTATTAACTTATTGTTGTTGATGAGACAAAATCTTGTAGCGATAAATTACATTTTAAAACTAAAAATGGTTTCAACTATAACGCGTGGAAAAAGCAATATTACATCACACAATAAGTCTATAAATATGCCTGACAGGGAGTATTGCGCAGAATATGCAAGTCCGTCTATCACCACATAAATATTCTATTTCATTTTTAGAGAATACTGAAACGTATTTTCAGTTATCTGTGAAGAAACAACAAAAAAACAAACAAACAACCAATCAAGAGAGAGGCCCTAACGAGACGATAAAATATATTGTGTAATATGGGTAAATTTAGTTGATTTGTTCTTTACATCAGGAACTGACATCATTCCCCTCGTTGGTACTTAAATAGAAATGATAGAGCAAGGAAAGAGAACTAGAAAAGTGAACTAACCACAAGTTAATCTCCTGTAGTATTACCCAGAGCCTTTGAGTACATGTAGCAAAATATTTTACAGGGAAAAGCTTTAAGTGACCGGAAAATGTTTCCTTATTTTACTCCAGAGAAACCGATTTGTATTTTGCTTAAAACTGTATATGCACAGTAGAAGTACTGTAAACATATCTTATTGTTATACCACCGACTTCAAGAAATGTTTTATAAAAATGGATTTCCTAACTCGTCATGTCACATTTCCAAAAAAAGTTTGTGTTTTAGCATAGTGTAATATTACGCCAAAAAAGTTAAAAACAATTAAGTGAACTAACGCTTATAAAAATTATATTCAATTGATCACATATCATTTAAAGATTGCATTGAAACTGGGACATGAAAATAAATACAATTAAAGCCGAAGTCATACCATGTTTATTCGATAAATTTATTATTTAAAAGAGCATAACTTGTTCAGGTTGATTATATTTATTTCAACATCATTAATTACTTTTCTTTTTGGAAGAAGTTATTTTTTCAATGCATGAATCACATGATGAATATGAGGTAAGGCGTCATATCACTTTCAAACTAGAAAATTACACCAAGAAAAGTAATAAAACAGGTAAGAAACAATGTGAAGTTGGGAGTAGAACATTAAACTAATCCGTTCCATTAAATGAATTTGTCTATTGAGAAGCGTAATTTCAAGTGGTATTGCTTTAATTTGTTTTCGTCTTTGAACACTAGCTGCTCTGTCAACGATGATTTATTCGTTATACATGAATTTAGTAATTATTTTAAGTAAATAGGCATAAATAGAATTGGTAAATACTACATATTTCAATCAGAATATTTGATATTATTTGAATGTACGTTTTCTTTACAATGCTTGTAATATATTACCTTCAGCTTAGACACTCGCACGTACTGCTTTATATATCAAAATAACATTTTATTAGATACTTCATACATCCAGAAGAGATATATATAGTTTTTATATATCAAGCTTAGAGAACGCCAATCCTTAACCAATCATGAAAGACAAGAGCACAAGTACTTCTAATGTCGTACATACATAGAATACAACAGTATGTCGAATAATTGTTTTAATCTGAATGGTTTTTAGATATATTGCAACAGTTTAAATACCTTTGAAAGAAATTATTAATGAACTACTGTGCAAAAAACAAAAACGTATTGTACAGATAGTTTTATTTATCGCTTTCTTTGTACTTTTATCTGAAAGTTCATGCGACTCAATAATTTACATTATCGTTTATCATATATCATAGCTAGCCTATGTTCATAAAATAATTGAAAAGAGATGAAAAGATTAAACGAGAGTCAAACGAGATTTAACAGCAGAACATCTAGTAGTCCAACAGTTTTGACAAAGATTTCTTACATAGAGAGCAAATGTCTCAAACAGGAACATAATGTTTTTTGGTTTTGAGGTACAGCCTTTAACTCACTACTAATAAAATAAAATACTTTAGGTGTTTGAATAACATGTGGCATACCGTTACAAACAATTATTCAATAAAACTCACAAACCATTCTCTGTTTACATTCCACTGTTATATAAGGCCTACTTTATGTAGTTGCTTTGCTCTTCGAAGCAGCACTGATGAGCTGTGAATTCAGTGAATCTAGGCTACTACAGCGGAAATAGTAAATCGAATTTTCGTATTTTCTTCACCGAAATTCACCTTTTGGTGAAGAAAATAAATCAACAACCAAGTAAGATATTATATCTATAAAAACAAAATAACAGGATAATTTTCTGGTTTATATTAATTCTGGCTTTAAGGTGTCTTCAAAATTTCAAATGTTTGTAGAAGTATCTCTTATTTGGCATACAGCGGTTCTCAAACTTTGTCACAGTGAGGCTCTCTTAGCTAAGAAAAAAAATGTGCCTGTCCATAGTTTAGGATTTGAGAGATTGCACAGAAAAACACACATGATAAAAGCCTGACATCTTGCTGTTACTAAAGCATGCTACCCAGTAGTTATTTACTACATATTACTGTTTTTTTTGTCTAAAACGCGTTTTTTCGCCTTCCTTTCATTAAATCAAATTCTGACAAGTATCTTCATAGTTTGATAATCACTGATATATAGAATATTTTAAGGAACAATACCTATATATATGTACTGCAATGATAGTCTTGTCCGAGTCAGTAAAAGATCATAAAGTATGGCTCTTCAGCCGGATAGTGATTGACTTAGACTCACACCACATTAATGCATCATCAAACTAGAGCCTCTCAGATGTTTTTCCGAAGCTCGTTGGAAACATGTCGGTTTTCGTTTGTCATATCGTAGATATTCTAAATTTCTCTGAAAAGTACTGCGGTCTTAAATCTCTGTACAATGAAGAACTTAATTTTTTTCTCTGGTAATTTAACGAAATAGTGATTAGTATAGTATTACAAAAAGATCCAACCGTTGATCTATCAAGACGTTCAACCTTTTGATATAAGAAAAATACTCTAAAGAATTACACAATTTATGTTTTTAAAGAAAATATAATCATCCACACCTTTTAATTTTGATTGTTTTCCAGGCTGTTTAAGATATTTTTACAAGGTACAAATAAGGTTTCTCCTCAATTTTATTAACAATTATTTCAACATCAATCGGTTATTAGTTTCTCAAAATATAGATTAAACCAAACAAACTTTTTTCTCGAACAGGAGAGCATACTAGGATATTTATAATGTTGGACTATCAAGGGAGATTTTGTTTTGCTTCTTTTTTATTTTCAGCCGTTGACTTCTGACATAGTGGACATTTATTACAGAATCTGCAGCACATGTGGCCATACGTGGTTGACATGTCTTGGATATGCTTTAAAATATGCCAATTTTCTACTGTAACGTATATCAAGTCATGTTTTACCACTAGTGCAGGATCGCAAGATAAACAACCTAATGAAAATTAATCTAAGCAGTTAGATACATTGTTTCCAAACTACTTCAAGTGGCTGGAGTTCGTTACACTATCCAAGATGGACCATTATCCAGCACCTAAAACCCGTTTCAATAAACATGATTTAATGTACTAGTATAGTACTAATATCTTGTTCAAACATAATGTCTGTGGCTATCGTCTCTTGGAAAATATTCTTCAGAGATATATCGATTTGAATTTTGTACTGAGCTAATTCAAACCATACGTCCAGTCACTGTTTTTAAGATTCAAATTGTGAGGATGTTTTACAAAGTGTTGTCACGTTATAGCTTAGCTTATGTCATATTTGTATCCAAGCCGTTCATATGAACATAAATATGATAAAATGGGAAAAAAAACAGACACCAAAATACAGTGTAAAATAACGAATATTATCTTTCGAATATGTACAATTTTATTTAACTTCTCAATAAATGTGTTACATGTATAACCAAATCATATACAATAGTGATCTGTATCTTGTAATTCTTTCAAATCATATTACAAGACAAAGATCCTTTTTCAAACCAATATCTTTTAGGGACAAGAACACATAGATGGCACCAAATCAAATTTCACTGTTCTTCAGCTGATATATATTACTAATAAGGTTACTATGTCCTTAATAAGCAATCAATAATTAAACATACGTATTGTAAACAACTTGTAATTGTTTGTGCTGGATACACATTTATTCCTGTATACGCAATTTTGTATCACATTCGTGTACATTTAAATAATGTGTTGTAGTTGACACTAAAACATGAACACCAAGCGAACGACTTGTTTATTGTTCTTATTTTATATTTGTGTTGATTTATATATACAAATATATATTTAAGAACGAGAAATTAAAAACTGTATATACTTAGCATACATATTCAGAACCAGAACATTAATGCGAAATAAGTTGGTATAACCTCGAAATATGTAAGAATGTGATTAGTTGTGATGCTCACGCTGTATTTTAATAGTCTGATGCCAAGTAGATTGAAATACAGTATGTAAGAATGTGATTAGTTGTGATGCTCACGCTGTATTTTAATAGTTCTGATGCCAAGTAGATTTATTAACTTTGTCTGGCCAAGCATGGATTGAGAATGTAAAATTCCTGATAAATACATCAAATAGTGAGATGAACAGAGTGGCAGGGTGGGAACTACAATTTACATTTGTATTGGTTGTAATAGCCATATCCACCACTGTAGTAGTAATTAAACATTCCAATTTTAGAGAAATTAACATTCAGTGCAATTCAAGAATTTTTGCTGTTTCTGTTTATGTGTCTTTCCATTATGTAGGTATGGTGTAATATAATACCTGAAATGTAAGTAATAGTTACTTGTTTACATGATACAATTAGAATAAATATACTTATCTTAGTAAAGTTTAGTAAAAACTGACTTGACCCATGTGCCCCCATTCGAGTTTGTTACGTGTCTAGCAAGCGAGAAGCAAGGCACTTCGCAAGGTCAGCCACGTCTCTATTGGTTACGTTATAAATTGTATCTTTTTTTTTCTTCTTCTTACACACCAAGTCTTAAACTTCAGTCTGTTGGAAGTCCCTAGGGGGTGCGGCAAGTAAAGCTTCAGCCACTTCTTTTCTGTATCCTGTTTGTAAATCAAGGTAATCTCCACTGGATTGAGAACACTGAGAGTCTTGAGTTTTTTCAAAGTCCGTGAGAAGAGGCGTACACTTTTCCAAATTTTGTACCACATTCTCATCCTGATGCTCCTGAAATATAAAAATAGAAAGAAAAATTTTAGCCAATAATTAATTAACAGTATAATTAGGGGATGTGAAGCGTACTTTCTTACATTATGGTCAAACTAAATAAAAATGGATTGAAACAAGTTAGAGACCAATTAAAGGTATTTTCTAATTACATTAAAATTAATGTATGATGAAAACTTATGTATATTATTTGTAATTTAACGTTACTTGTACAGGGGATTAATCGCACTTCATAAGAGCGAATTGCATATGTATTGCAGTGTGTTGTCTTTGCAAATGCAAGTAGTGACGCCACGGGCAACGTGTTTAGTATCTGTGTATTTTGTTCGTGGCGTATTCGACATTACTTATGGCTGGAAGACGACGTTACAACCCTTTCTCAAGAAGGATATTCATGTAGGGAGAAAGTTAAATGATGTAGAGCCAATGTACGCAACGTTTTGAAGAAGGAAGGAAGTCTTCAAAGTTTTCTATGGAAGCGGAAGCTTGCACATCACACCGTTTATGACAACAACTATCTCCAAACCCATGTCCCAAGATAACGTGGAGCAATGATCACACCCGCCCAGGGGCCATTGCGATAGTTTGACGTATCTCTTGGCACTGCTAACAAAATAATAAGCACGGATTTGAAGTTGACAAAGGATCACAATCTTCCTGTCTCATCTTGAAATCAACAACTGTTTTATGAGAAAGATCATAAAGGGATCTAGAGCCGTCGCAGCTCCCTTCGACTACATATCTATCAAATCCCCATTGCAGCTCCAATGGAATATTCTGCTTTGGGGCAGCATACAGTTAGTCTTGGAAGCCAACGCCCCATGGAGGGTTTATGGAAAGTTTTTTTTTTTAAAAGTGCTCATCCAGTACGTTGCAGAACCTTTTGCAATAAAAACTTTGGCAATTAGGGTGAGCACGACTGATTTTGACAGAAAGAGTTCTTGATTTTGAAGGAAGTTGTTTTTATAAATGAAGCAAAGGATTTTAATATTGTTCTTAATAAGTGCAATTAACACTCAGTGTTAAATTTCAAAAGAAGACATTCATGATACTTGATTCGTTAATAAAGCTCCCCAGTGGCATAGCGGTATGTCTGCGGACTTACAACGCTAGAAACCGGGTTTCGATAGCCGTGGTGGGCAGAGTACAGATAGCCTATTGTGTATCTTTGTGCTTAATTCCAAACAAACAAACACAAAATTTCATTTTTTTTAGTAACAGTCTTATTTGATGGGATCTAATATAAAAGTAAAATAATTGCATATATTGTGTCAAGCTTAGAGTATAAGAAAGAAATATACAGTAATTTGAACTTTATGGTTCTTCGAATTTGTTTCTTTTCGCTACTTCTTTAGAGAACCTGTCACTTTGTAAAACTATGCGATTTTTAGGAAACACGGGCACAAAATATGCTCCGTTTTAGTGATGAGGTAACTGTAAAATTTACAGATTAGCTTTGAAATTTTATTTACAAAAGATGTTGAAATTTCAACTGTTGAAAAATCTCCACAGATAAAACGTTTCTAGTATTTTATCCACCATTTTTTCATAAAACTAAACAAAAATTCATTCACTAATATAACCTAAGAACTTGAAGAGTTCAATATATATTCTACTTCAATCAAACTTTGAAAGCAAAAAAGGTGTTTAGGTTTTTATTAGAGTAGGTTTCTTTTTTTTATTTGGATCCATTCATAAAATTTTTGTTTTGTAAGAAAAAAAAAAGATTATCCACAGCATTTTAAACCTATTATAGAGTGTTTGATTCTATGCATATTTGAAACCTATAATAAAAATATTTCTGCATACTGTATAAATTATTATCTCGTGCAAGTGGATTTTATGATTCTAAAAATAACTGGAAACTTAGTAGGTTATCACGTGAAAGTGGGCGTAATTATTTTAAACACTACAGGAAGGTATGTGGTCACTACATACTGAATTATGTAACATCACGTGCAAATCAGTGCTATGATTCTAGAAATGATTAATATATAATTGAAAGCAACATAACTAAACGTCACCATCTTGATGGAAACCCAGACTTCCATTACAGTGCTCTTGCTTCCTTCATCTAATAAGTTTATTTAAAATATGCTTCATTATTATACGAACAAATCACGTAAAAAAGTCGAAAGTTAAGTACGTAGATTTCCTATTCCAAATAATTTATCTTTAATATATTTCAAAAAATTCTGTCTTCTTTACAAATAACACAATCCAGCGAATTTAAACTTCATAAAAATTGTTTTGGTTTTAATAACGGATTTTCCATAATTCAGGTACGGAGATTTCGGAAATATTATTCTTTTTTTTATCACGTAAAGATTTTTTTACAAATCCGGAAGAAAAAACTCTTTTTGTCGACTGCTTGTATCATGTTGATAAATGTCACATTCAGTTTTGTATAATGCTTTTTGAAATATGGTAGTAAACCTGATTCCAGTTCTATTTTCACACTTTGTTTTTGCTGAATCTATAGCAAAGCGATTTTAACAAAGAAACAAAATAAAAATATTTTTTTCTTCCTCCATACAGATAACTGTGAGACATGCACAAGAAAGACTATACCAAATAAAATACGCTTAGTATTTTGAATGGACTACATACCACTTACTGATTAGCATTTTCCAGTAATATGGTGTTATAAACTAATAATGACAATCAGCTACATAGAGAGAAATACTAACAAGGAAGTACTGAAACGTGCAAACACGAAACGATAACTGGGTATATATATACAGAACAGAAATTGTGGAACTTTGGACAAGTAATTAGATCTCACGAAGGATGACAGAGATTATGATTGATAAAATCGAAAGAACAAGAGCGAGAGGAAGGCTTATTGAGAGTAGAAAATATATTGGAGATGAGAAGCTTGAGTTAGGAACGTTTGTGCAGGCAGAGAGAAACAGAAGTGAATGTAGAGCCATAGTCATTGACCATTGCAACTGGGTAGGACACCATGACTGATTGAATGATACTTTTCTATAATTGGGTAGGACACCATGACTGATTGAATGATACTTTTCTATAATTGGGTAGGACATCATGACTGATTGAATGATACTTTTCTATAATTGGGTAGGACACCATGACTGATTGAATGATACTTTTCTATAATTGGGTAGGACATCATGACTGATTGAATGATACTTTTCTATAATTTGGTAGGAGACCATGACTGATTGGATGATACTTTTCCATAATTGGGTAGGACACCATGACTTATTGAATGATGCTTTTCTATAATTGGGTAGGACACCATGACTTATTGAATGATGCTTTTCTATAATTGGGTAAGACACTGTGAATGATTGTGTGATACTTTTATACAAACCTATTTTTCTGTTTTGCATGTACCAAAACCAAATGTATACGAAATATTGTTTCACGACCGCTTATTTTTGTAAATAAACACATACACGCTATTAATTACAGTTTCGAATAAGGAAGTTTCAACCGTGAACATATAACTAGATTTCTTTTATCACTGTGACACATACACCAGAAAGGCTGAACCAAATGGTTGATATTCGAATATTTTGTTATAATTTATTGGATTCATAATAGTTTGATAAAATAGTCTGCCGACATTCTAAAGAAATGGACAGAGGAGAATGAGCGTCACATTTAAGCCAAAGGAAATAAAATACAAATGACTAATTAATTTTTGTCTTAAAAAGCTATTTCATGTTTAGAGAGTTACTGTTTACGCTTAACTTGTAACTGTTATCAGTCATTTGTATGAAATTTCGTCCAGACATTTTGTTTTTTTTTGTTTATAGTAAAGCACAAAACGAGACAATGGGCTATTTGAGCTGTGCCCATCACGGATATTAAAACCAGTCTTTTAGCGACATAAGCCTTCAGACCTGCTGCTGTGCCACTGGGTGGGTGGGGGGGGGGGGCTCGTTCGGAAATATAACAAAACTTTAGCTTTAAGGACCTCAAAAATGTCAGAAAGTTACAGTTATAAAATGAAAATTAGTAGTTGTAGTGTTATTTAAAATTAGCGCAATAATTAATGATTGTGCAAACAGTGATTATATATATAGTAGGTCTACTGAGTTGTATCGCCTAACCTTTTAGGTGTCCTCTACATCCGTATTCGACATTGACGTATATATATGCATTAAACGCTTCTCAGTGGGGTCGTTCACTCTTAGATTACACAAATATAAAATAACAAATTTAAATTAAAGTATTTTTTTTATCTATTCATGTCATTGCACATGAAATAAGAAAATGTTATTTTCTTTCATAAATAAAGGGAATCATTAGTACGCAAGATACATTCTCTAGCCACATTTGAAGTTAAGGAAAGATATAAACATAAAGAAAGGTTGAACTCAACCGTGACTGTCAACAAGAAAATCGCTGTGGAGTTGACAGTGAATGATAAGAGTATGAGCTACCAACTAAAACCATAGTGGTGAGTTACACCTGATGTATTGGAACGTAGAATAGAAAACATAAAACAACAACGCACTTTCCCAAGACTGTCAACTTAGAAATAAGAATGAGTATAGAGCTCAGACGTTATCGAAGATGAAGAAACATTAGATGTAAAAACGTGAGTAAGTACAAAGGGAGAAAGTTTTACAGTAGAACGCAGGTGACCATATACCAAGAATTAACTTTAAAAAGACGATAACAGCGTCATAAAATAAAGTAAAAACGAACTTGAAAACAGATATACTAAAAAAAATCAGGATGAATGTATAAAGCTGTTGGACAAAAAGACTACCTGAAAAGCATTAGAAAGAAGTAAATTTCTTAGAGACAAAACGACTTTGTAGGAAAAAAAAACAATCTGAATAAACATAAATCTATTCTGTTGACAATGATGAAAAAAGTTAAGAAGCCTTTTAAACCATTCTGTACAACTTATGTCACAAGTAATCAATAATAATGAGAATAACCACCAGACAATGTGTTACTTTACAAGAGTTGGTTTTTGTTGGTTTGTTTTACAGCAAAGCCACATTGAACTATCTGCTGTGGCCACTGCGGAGAATCGAACCTCGGATGCTAGGATTGTAAGTCTGTAAACTTATAGCTCTCCCACTACTTTACAAGAGAAAAAAAATGTTTTCAAGAGATTCCATTTGTATGGTGCTTCAATTTTCTTAGCAACAATGTTGCAAACATCGGTATATCAATCAAAGAACCTGGAAACTCTCAGACAGATACCATATAGTTAGGCGAATGATGAGACAAGACCAGGGAAATCAAGGTCAACAAGGAGCTATGAGAGTAAAAGTTTTTACCATTAGACGTTCACATGGCGAAATAATTTCAGAATAAGCCAAGTAGCAGAATATCCGTGGATGCATATATTTGATTAATCGTAACTCGAAGTTCCCTATTTCGTGTGGCTGAATTGCAAATCAATTACTAACATATGTACAGCTTGTAATGTTGTATTTCAGAAAAAGAACAACAAACAGCAACAACAAAAAAATACCCATCAGTAATCGGACCTGGCGTTTACCTAGACGGTTTCGAAACTTTCGAGGCTTCGGTACAAGTCGGGGTAAAAAAGAAAAAAACCTATATTAACATTGTGACACTTAATGAAAATGTACTGTATAAATACAAATAGAATAGGTGGAAAGGGGAAACATGTCTATTATTAAACAATATTATTTTTCTTAAGGGTAGATAGATAAAATTAAGGAACGATCTACAATGTTGGAAAAATAAAATGCATCTTAGTAAGAGAAGTATCTGCTTACGTAGAAAATTACAAAGCAGTAGAGATACATTATATACCAGATTTAACTATTATAAGTAAGCCTCAGTCGTGAAAAAAAATAAATATGGGTGCTCACCCCCACGATCTTCAATATTTACAACTAGCGGCATATAATAAAATACGGCCTAATCCTTAATTATTCCCATGATTTTCCTGAGCCAAGAGAGAGAGATCTATGTAAAATAATAACCTCGGTTCATCACAAAAATTTGTGTTCCGTATCTAGGTAAGGGACGACAGCGAAAGAACTGAGTATTGATAGATTAACACGATCTTTTAACCCGATTCAGTGTTATCAGATGTACGGCTAAACTCTGGCCATCACAAGTCACCTAGTGCTCATGTAATTCAAATGACAGATAAATGAGTTTGTATAGTATAAAAGCAAGATTCCAAACTTCGTGTGCCAAACCAGTCAAAATAACTGAATTAACAGACACAACATTACAAACCTCACGACGTAATGTGTAGATTAATGTAACAATAAATTATAATGATTATTTTGACAAAGATTTAGTTTCTGATACAACAGACAAAAAAATATGCACAAAAAAAAACACACGAAAAAGCAAACAAACAGAGGAGGTAATAATTGAGACAACGGTATTTCGGAATGAAACACCATTTAAATGGGCAAGCAAAGTAACAATTTCTGTTACGTAAAATGACAAAGATTTAACTATAATTTTACGCAAGGAAACAAATATCATGGTTTAATATTAATTCTTTACTATAGAAGAAGCAAGAAATAAAAATCAATTAGCGCTTAAAATAGCAGCTTCAGCAACTAGGATGCGTTTTGTGAGAATACTAAGGATATTAACATAAATAATAGTACCTGGGATAACTAAACTATGTAAATAGGATATAAATAATAGTACCTGGGATAACTAAACTATGTAAATAGAATATAAATAATAGTACCTGGGATAACTAAACTATGTAAATAGGATATAGATAATAGTACCTGGGATAACTAAACTATGTAAATAAGATATAAATAATAGTACCTGGGATAACTAAACTATGTAAATAGGATATAAATAATAGTACCTGGGATAACTAAACTATATAAATAGGATATGTGAGAAAATATCCAAATATGTTGCATATTTAAAACTGTGGCAGTTTTCTATTCTATTACCATGAAATATTAAATAATTGAATTCTTATTACTTTGTATATCATGATTCAACAATCTGGATACATAATATAAAAGTACAAACAAACTTCATCTGACAAAAGTGGATTTTATGGTTTTTGTTGATCGTTATCATTATTTACTTTATAGACCAACGGTTTGTTTGTTTACCTTTAAGAACAATGCAGATAAGCAGTTCTAAGACGTAAAAAATCTAATACAAAAAGTTGGAAAATATTCACTATATTTAAACTCGCCGGGGTTTTAAAATAATAATCAATGATATATTGACAATATTATTATATTACAATAAGATTTTCTGCTTGGATCTGTATTGATCAATGTTCGTTTCACGTTATGTGTGTAAGTTTATTTGTTTATCTGTATTGATCAATGTTCGTTTCACGTTATGCGTGTAAGTTTATTTGTTTATCTGTATTGATCAATGTTCGTTTCACCTTATGTGTGTAAGTTTATTTGTTTATCTGTATTGATCAATGTTCGTTTCACCTTATGTGTGTAAGTTTATTTGTTTATCTGTATTGGTCAATGTTCGTTTCACGTTATGTGTGTAAGTTTATTTGTTTATCTGTATTGATCAATGTTCGTTTCACCTTATGTGTGTAAGTTTATTTGTTTATCTGTATTGATCAATGTTCGTTTCACCTTATGTGTGTATTTATTTGATTTTTATGAATAAAAAAATCATCTATATCACAAAAAACATGGAAAGTTTTCTAACGGCTTATAGTGATCAATCAGAGTGAATAGAATAAAAGCTTTTTAATACGGTTTGAAATATTTGTAACAACTTGTGTTCGAACTTTTTACTGAAATAATATTTGGTTTAAAACGTTTAACTTTAATAATATCAAATTCTCAAATTACGTTCAAGAATAATAACAGTAGAAATGAAAAACTAAGGAACTAGATAACACCGTAGCTTATTTTAGCCTAGTTAAACATATAACTTAACCATATCATGGGTTCAAAAACGGATTAAACAGTAATGATATGAAACAGTTGATTATCCACGATGTTGTTTACTTTTGGCAAATATAAAATGAGGTCAGTTATGTTACATCTCTAAATACATAGCAATTTGCTTTATTGTTATATCTACTTACCCAATAAAGCAAGTAAAAATCAGATTTTACTTTTAATGCAGTAATAACTCTTTCGATCATAGTCATGTTAATTGACCTGTTCTATTATTGCAAGGTTAATAATTTTAGTTCCTAATTAAGATAATTTTCTTCTTCAATGTATCGTATTCAAGAGGAAGAGTGAGGTATAACGATTTATATAAATAATAAGTTATATATATTGAAATAACGGAACACAATTTCAAGAACGCGTAAAAAAATTACTATTGTATAACCTGCTACTGTCAAGGCATATAAATGATAGCTGGTTCCTCTATCAATGCAAAAATGCTCAAACTATACTTCCAATACATCAAAATGTTCTCCACGAATGCAAGATGTTTAACAAAACATTTTACAAAGACGTGTATGTCGAATTTTTAGTTACTGTTTAGTCGATCTCCCCCATAGGAACAACGTGACAGTCTAGTGAAAGATGGGTCCGCTCAGGAAATATTATTTCGATAGCAAGGCTGGCAACTGTTTTATTGCGTGTTTTACAACAGATTTTGAAAGTAAACGTACATAAACGTTATTTTAAAAATTTCACGGTAATCTGAAATCGAAAAGATTTTTGAATCAATGAAAATTTTGAATAATACAACAGTCTCATTGTAGCCTAATATATATATATATATATATATTAGTGTACGCCATTTTAAATCTACGATAACCACATTTATGATGTAATATATAATGATAAACACAGACAAAAATACTTGCAATTGGGCACATAATTTTTCGAAAGATATATTATAGAAATGTTTAAATAAATGTGCAGAAAAAGGAACAAAAGGTTAAAACGTTACAGGGAAATAAAAGTTACAACCAAATATGTTCGCCCTTTCAACCGTGGGGGCGTTATAATGTGATGGTCAGTCCCACTATTCGTTGGTAAAAGAGTTGGCGGTGGGTGGTGATGACTAGCTGCCTTCCCTCTAGTCTTACACAGCTAAATTAGGGACGGCTAGCGCATATAGCCCTCGTGTAGCTTTGCGCGAAATTCAAACAAACAAATTTACAAATGAAAATGTGAAATCACAAAAATATGAAACTCGAAGGAACAAAGTATTTAAAAGAGTGGAAAAAGTTTATATTCAAGTTTAACTACTATATTCAAAGTAGCTTGTGATTCATTAAATGTTAACGTATGTGCTAAATGAACCTACTTTTATTACAGCGAGAACTCGTCTTCTACGATTGAATACCTGAATCTAATGTTTTGGTATTAGAATGCAGACATTCGCAATGTACGTCGTTTGAAAAGTCGTAAACTAGTTTTTAAAAATATTAATAGGCAGATATGCATAATTTATATACTTCAAATGTTCAAATATAAATGTTATTGCGGTTTTGAGAACAAATCTGTGATTATGTTTTATACTATATTCTTTTAATATGAAGTAAAAATGTTCATTGCAGCTTCTACTATTAAGTCTACTTCTGTCTGATTATCTTATATGTAACAGTTATGTTACCAGCTTAACTTATTATATGTGCTTATTTATTAGGTAGATCAAATTAATTTTTCTACTGTTTCGAATAATTAAATCTTGTTTTCTTATATTTTTTAAAAATCACACAATTCACTGTTTTCGTTCAGTAAAACAAATTTTGCTAACATTATAGAATCTATTTGATGTAATTCGAACAAACATTTAAAATTTTGGATAAAAAAGTAAGTAAAACTAAATGATATAATTATTACAAAATATATAATTACTTTATATTTGTATGAAAGGAGTACTATAATATTTTGTTATAAGGATAATTTAAAGACGAAAACGTACACAGGGATATTTCTTAACGAAAATAGAAAGTGTTAAAAGTAATGTCTAAATTGCAAATAATCGTTATGAAATGTAAATGAAATGTATTGTTTAAAGTTTTTATTGTTATCATTTGTATCGTTAAAACAATAGCTATTTGTTTTACTTACCACCGGTTTTACGTGCTTTGTGGAAGAGGCTTGTGAAGCATATCGCCCAGGAGAAGTTTCTGGATATAAATGTATTTCTGTGAAACTAGATGACGCTGCTTCTCCTACAGCGCTCTCGACGTACTTCATTTCTGCTAAATCAAATAATTAAACCCATAGTTTAGCTTTATGTCAATGTATTTATGCTTTTGTGAAGTTAAAATAATTAAATTATTAAGTAAACTTTATTAAAGTTGTTTAATTTCTACGTACGCCTGATAATTTTAATTTTGTTTAATATTAGAAATTATGATAACATATGATAAAATAGTAATATGTACTGTAGGAAACTTTAAAAAATAACGTAATATATTGTTGAAAAACATGGACAATTTAATGTGACATGAATATGGTTAAAAAAAAAGACACTCTGTGATAAGATCTTCCTAACAATGAAAAATCTTCAGCGTTTTTTGACTTAAAGCCTTATATATGTTTAAACTCCCTCTATATGTTAAACTGAGAACTATTTAATGTGGTTTTTATATTTATTAATAAAATAATTTTCATAAAATAACCTCTTATTTTTCACAAGAATACCAAAATATTTGCTTTAAGTTAATAATAATAAATAGTTAAAATAATTTAAACATTTTAAATTCTTTTCATTATATATATAGAGAGAGGTTGAGTAAGCTGTATTAAAATGAACTGGAGCCTCACCACGTCATAACAGTCTACATTGTTAAGTCTGGCCACGTTCTGTCTGACGATCGTGTGTTTTCAAAATAGCCCTTCAGGTTAGTTTTGATTGTAAAGGGCTCCGTTGTAAGGCTGTCTTATCTAAAACACACCACATCTCTGTGAATGCTTTCCATAATCCACCTAGTGTCTGAGGAGACAGTTTCCTATCGCCCGTTTTTACAGTACTATCTCACAGAAATCCACAGAAGACTTTACCAGTATGCCATGGGCATCATTAAACAAGCGACACAAGTCACCTGAGCAAAAGTTGCTTCCACGTAGTATTCTCTCAACCGGTGCACACCTGAAACAGCTGGAGGATGATACGGTATTTATGCTATTCCATAAAATCCCTACCAGTCAATTCACTGGTTGTACTCCTATCATTTCTGTGTAATCTGACTCTTGACACTGGGAACCGTAGTCCTCTCATCCTAAATGGCATATGAAAAGCATCAGGGACGAGTGGTGTTTTTTTGGACATAACAGCTTTTCGACGGAGCCTTTTGCATTATAAACTATGCTACATTGTCATGATTCATGCTCGTCAGAAAGACGAAAATTACTGAAACGATATGATAAACAAATCAAAATTAGGGAATAACGTTTTTTTCCCTAACGTCTAACAGGTACAGACTAGAATTAGGTAATTGTTTTCCTAACGTCTAACAGGCACAGACTAGAATTAGGTAATAATTGTTTTCCTAACGTCTAACAGGTACAGACAAGAATTAGGTAAAAATTGTTTTCCTAACGTCTAACAGGTACAGACTAGAATTACGTAAGAATTGTTTTCCTAACGTCTAACAGGTACAGACTAGAATTAGGTAAAAATTGTTTTCCTAACGTCTAACAGGTACATACTAGAATTAGGTAATAATTGTTTTCCTAACGTCTAATAGGTACAGACTAGAATTAGGTAAAAATTGTTTTCCTAACGTCTAACAGGTACAGACTAGAATTAGTTAAAAATTGTTTTCCTAACGTCTAACAGGTACAGACTAGAATTAGTTAAAAATTGTTTTCCTAACGTCTAACAGATACAGGCTTGAATTAGGTAACACTTTTTTCTAACAGATACAGGCTAGAATTAGGTAACACTTTACTTTTTCCAATGTCTAACAGGTATAGACTAGAATTAGGTAACAATTTTTTTCTAACGTCTAACAGATACAGGCTAGAATTAGGTAACACTTTAATTTTCCTAACGTCTAACAGGTACAGGCTAGAATTAGGTAACAATTTTTTCTAATGTCTAACAGATACAGACTAGAATTAGGTAATAATTTATTTTCCTAATGTCTAACATGTACAGGCTAGAATTAGGTAACAATTTTTTCCTAATGTTTAACAGGTACAGGCTAGAATTAGGTAAAAAAAAATTTCTAACAGATACAGGCTAGAATTAGGTAACAATTTTTTCCTAATGTTTAACAGGTACAGGCTAGAATTAGGTAAAAAAAAATTTCTAACAGATACAGGCTAGAATTAGGTAACACTTTAATTTTTCTAATGTCTAACAGATACAGGCTAGAATTAGGTAACACTTTACTTTTTCCAATGTCTAACAGGTATAGACTAGAATTAGGTAACAATTTTTTTCTAACGTCTAACAGATACAGGCTAGAATTAGGTAACACTTTAATTTTCCTAACGTCTAACAGGTACAGGCTAGAATTAGGTAACAATTTTTTTTAATGTCTAACAGGTACAGGCTAGAATTAGGTAATAATTTATTTTCCTAATGTCTAACATGTACTGGCTAGAATTAGGTAACAATTTTTTCCTAATGTTTAACAGGTACAGGCTAGAATTAGGTAACACTTTATTTTCCTAATGTCTAACAGGTACAGGCTAGAATTAGGTAACAATTTTTCCTAATGTCTAACATGTACATGCTAGATTTTATTTTATGAAGCAGAGTGGTGCTTAACCAAGTTCATTGTATTTGTTCCAAATATCCAATACAAAAATGTAAAATACTTAATTGAGGACGCCATGGAGCGTGAAATGGATAATTAAAACTTGGAAATGCTAATATGCACAGTAAGTGAAACGCATTTAGAACTGAGAACTAAAATATTTTTAATATAACGTTCCATTCTGACAATCAAGATAAGAAGTATAAAATGGTTTTACGGAGTCAAAACAAATCAAAAATGTACTTTAAAAAGCGAAAACAAGTAAAAGGTATAAAAATAATTTGTATTTCCACGCGAGGTTTCAGGCCAAACACCCTTCAATGCTTAATTTCAACTAATGTGGAAGGTTTGACTTCACATATCGAAAATGTAATACAATTATTCATCTGTAAAAGAACAGTGTGGCATGTAAGTATAATACTTAGTACTATAAACTGCTCGTTGGAATGCCCCGAGAAACTACTACGGATAAGTTACTTCAAGCAAGCTATACCACCAACGCAATGTTTATTATCTGGGTGAATTTGGAACACAATAAACCATGTATACATTCTTTTGAGGACGGATTTAAAATGTTCAACCCTTCAAATTGTGGTTTTAATGGCAGCTAAATTTAATTTCATAATTTACCGTGCAACCGATACTTTCATGTTGAAGATTGTATACCAATATGTAAACTAACAAGTGTTTTAATTAAATACTTTTTTTATCTGCTAGTGTAAGATATTGTAGTCCTTTGTCACAGTTCACATTAGTCAGATTCATATATCTTTCAAGTGAAAAAAGAACAAACAAATGCTATTATGAAACTTGTAGTCTCTTTTATGTAGCCAACATTGGAAACACGTGCGCTTCAATGTGCCAGCAATGTAAAATAAACAGCAATTAAATGAAAAAAAACAAAAAACAAACGATAAAGGAAATATAATAGTTAGCAGGAATTTGGAAGTCCTGTTTATCCGACTAGCAAGATCAGAAAAATAAAACAAAACTATGTAAAGCAATCGAGATATTCATTCGATATATGTTTGATTAATACTGATAATATAAAGAACTGGCTTGACAGCGGAATATGTCTAGCCTACGTTCATAAGTTCTGCCTTTGATTATCGTTAGCCTACCTGGAATAACATCTGGGCATTTTTCTTCACATGTTGTGCCTCTAGATAAATCTTCACTGACAAAAACTTCTTTTTCTAACGGCTCAGAATATTTCCTGCGAATCAGAAATTATAATCTCTTGTGATTTAAATAAAACAACAGTAGTTAAAATCAAGAACACATGATATGGCTAAATGAAATATATATGTCTATCTAATTATCTAGAAAAGAACAATAAGAATAAATATATATATACTTACAGATCTTGCCCACCTGGTTTTCTGCTACCTGCAAAAGATACAATTATTTTAAATACCAGCCTTTCCTTAATTTTTGTTTCTGTCATACATATGTAATATGCAAGTCTGTAACATTTTAAGAATAACTTAAAATTCACAAGTTTATAATCTGGAAATTAAAGGTTTAATGTGAATATTTGCTGTATAGACATTACATTCTTATCCGGAGTATTAGTTGGTATTGCCGAAAAAAGTTTAAAATATTGTGAAAGATCTTGAGAATATTGAATAGTGATAACAATTATCATGGAATTAAGCTTTTTAAACACCTTATTAATAAATGTATCTAGGTATATATAACATTACTTCAAAACGTTTTCCACTTAGCTGAACTTCCTAATTTGTTTCCACAAGGTGCAATCTGCTTTATAATAAAGATAGTTACATCTGTATATCGACACAAGTTAGGAATTGGATGGTATAAGCTATGTTTATTATTGATATACCAGCTGATACAGTTTAAAGGTATGTATTGTATGTGTTATTGCAGAGAGTGACATCTATACATCTTCTCAGAAGATGTCTTCATAACGAAGATGTTATTATGTGTCTGGCACACCAGCCCTCCTATTTACTTCAAAATATTTGGCAGGGATTTTTTGGTGATTTACTGCTCCAATATCAGAATTCCTGTCACCACCACTTGAAAGTTATATAGTAAGAAACTGGAGAAGGAACTAAGGTAAAAAAATCCACACCTCCAGATTTCTTCCCGAACTTTTGCTAGAATTTCTGCTGATTTACTGCCCGAGTTTCAAATTTCCTGCTGTTGCTTTTCAGAGGAAATTAGTGAAGCGTCCGTGGACAACCTATCTTGACGGGATCGCCTCAACTCACTTTCGTACGTATTCACATATCTGTGTCAGGATTTCATGAGTCTTTCTGTGAACGTTTAGAACTGTTACTGTTCAGGATATTATAGTATTTTGGCACTTGTGTATAAAGATAAAATCATAAATAATATTCAAGGTTAAACTGGTACACAATTAAAAATATTTTATTTAGGCCTATCTATCCTCAGGCTAACGTTGTAACGTCGAAACATGTAGAGTCATCAACTTTTTGAAGGCCATAGACAGGTCTTAATTTTAATTGTGTACCAGTTTAACGTTGAATATTGTTTATGATTTTGTTCGGGAGATGTTAGGTAAATAACCATCATCTCAGTTTATACTTAAACAACAATATGTATATATATATATTTACTAAACCAACCCATCTCACATCCTCACCCTCAGTGGCACAGCGGACTTACAACGCTAGAATCCGGTTTTCGATACCCGTAGTGGGCAGAGCACAGATAGCCCATTGTGTAGATTTGTGCTTAACTACAAACAAATCAAAAAGTCTCAAAATACCCACTAGTTTTTTCACTCATTTGATTGGCGAACAAAGTTTTAAACTCAACCATCAAATTAAAAAAATCATGAAAACCCATAAATTAAGCTATTTTGAGTATTTACGTCAACATCTAAAATTTAAAAAAATATTTTGAACACCAAAGACACTATACTCACTCCTATGCACTCGTGCGTCGTATATGAATGCACTTGTGGTAGCTGTAAAGCTACCTATATTGGTAAAACTACACGTCACCTACAAATACGTGCACACGAACACATGGGAATTTCAAGAAGAAACTGATATAAGCTAACTAATCCAGTCTTGTATCTGATTGCACGAGAGAATAACAACCACCCCATACTTCTAGAAACATTTAAAATTCTCGATTCCAGAACCACAGATTACAAACTATTTATAAAGAAAGAAGTACTCTCCATTTTCAATGATTACCCAACACTAACTAATAACATCAACTCCTCCCTGTTGTCATCAACTCCGAATTCTCATTTATAACAGATTACAAACTATTTATAAAGAAAGAAGTACTCTCCATTTTCAATGATTACCCAACACTAACTAATAACATCAACTCCTCCCTGTTGTCATCAACTCCGAATTCTCATTTTTTTATTTGATATTTATTATTATTTTAAAGATAATATGTTTATACTGATATTTAAGCCTTTCTCTATAATAGTTTCTCTGAACAATGTTATTTATTAAACATGTGTAGCACATGTATTGAAGAAATACGTAACTCAGGCGAAGTAAAGCATGATTTATCCATAAAATAAACATTGAAAGACGCTATGTTCAGTATACTTTGTTCTATAATTTTAGGCTATTAGATATTCCAATTAACTTTAATTGCATTCTTCTGTTTTTCTTTGGTGATAAGGAAAGCGTGAAAACGGATAAAACGATTCAGGTGATTTTTTTAATTCTTTTATTTCAAGCTAGCGTGAAGAATCGTTTTACTATGACTGTAATATCATCCTTAGTTCACTTAATATTGTTCTTTTTCGTTCTGACAACAATAGTTTTCTTTCACTTTTCTGTTGGCATATAACAGGACATTGGCAAGTAACCATTTAACATAAAGCAATAAACACGTACATAATACTAAATACCTAATAAGTTATTATTAAAAACCTAATTATAGAATCACCCAAAAATGCATCACTTGCTTTTACAATTTCATTGTGATCAGTTGCCTCTGTTGTGTGCAGGAGTAAAAATTGATATTTTTACATAAATAAGTAAATATTTTCTTCTGCAAATATTTTATTTTGTATTAAATATTTTGTTAAGATAATTTAAGTTACATAGTATTTAAAGTGCATTCTTTCGGCTATCTAATGGTATATAAATTTGTTTGATAACTATGATTGGAACGACACATATAAGTCTTTTCAAGCAAAATGGTGGTTTAGGGCACGTTGAAACATTTTACTTGAGGCAGATTAAACATGTGTCAACCAGCCCCACATTGAGGACTTTGTATTTTTACACTCTTAAAACGAAGGTAGATATAATACAAAAAATTTAACTTCATATTGATTAATTTTAATTACTGTTTAAATGTTGAAAAAATTACCCCAAATTAATTAAAATTCTTCCATTATTTTCTTGTGATATTTTTTCTAAACTCAGAATTTGTACCTGTATTTCTAGGCATTATGGTGAAAAACAATTAAAGTGTTTTTTTATTACTATTTCCTTTACTTAAATTTACAATAATGGTGTTTTTGATTTAATTTCATCCGCATCAACTTATTCCAGAGCGTGTGTCAACTTGCCCCGTATTCAGACGTAAATGACTTGTTTTCGCTACGCAATAGAGTAAGGTGTTTAGTTTATGTTTATTTTGAAGTTCACAGTTGATTTTTATTTAAAAATAAAAAAGTGAGTAAACCAGACCCGGTTTCCCCAATAAAGTGACTTCATCAGGTGTTGAAATAGCTGTTCCGTCTATCCAATAAAAAATGTAAAATTAGTATATTAGGAGGCCATGGAGCATGAATCGAATAACTTATAACTGGATATGACCATATGCACAATAACTGAAACACGTGTAAAACTGTGCTGGTGTAAGTCAGATTAGCATTTACGATTTGGCGAAAGAGAATGTTGTCGAAAGAGCTTTACATTGCCTTTAAGTATGTAAGGCAGTTTGGTGGTTCCGGTGACAGAAAATGTTTTCAAACAAGCTTAACATTGCATTTAAATGTGAAAGGCAGTTTGGTGTAAATATTGCTTGTGCACACTAAGATATTTTAAAATTTATTTTCTTATGAGAGAGGCTAAGAGTTGGCGGCGAGTGCTGTCTTCTCTCTAGTTTCTCACTTCAAAATAAGCTTTGCACGAAAGCTCTGAAATAAATAAACCTTTCCTGACCCGATGTGTTTAATATATTTTAAGTTCACTCTTAATTTTCTTTCAACTTTTATAATTAACATAAAAAATATCTGAAAAACCTGAAAGGATAATAAAACTATACCTGTTTGGTTATTTTTTTCTAACCTACTTTTACGGTTAAGAATACAACTATTCTAGTTTGATTTATATCAGCATTGCCAATTCAACTTTTTGCAGTAACTCAGTAAGGTTTTTAGTATTATGTACGTGTTTATTGCTTTATGTTAAATGGTTACTTGCCAATGTCCTGTTATATGCCAACAGAAAAGCGAAAGAAAACTATTGTTGTCAGAACGAAAAAGAACAACATTAAGTGAACTAAGGATGATATTACAGTCATAGTAAAACGATTCTTCACGCCAGCTTGAAATAAAAGAATTAAAAAAATCACCTGAATCGTTTTATCCGTTTTCACGCTTTCCTTATCACCAAAGAAAAACAGAAGAATGCAGTTATGAAGAACAACAGGGAGCTAATACTCGAACATTAAACCTAAACTTAAGTCTTCTCATAGCCTACCTGATCACTCCAAGTTTCTTTTATAAAACCCTCTCTGTAGATAGTCTAGAAAGAGTGCACAAAATTACGTTTAGATTAATAACAACCAAAAAAAACGTGTGTAAGAATGATACGTGAAAAGATGGTTTATCGAGTCACGAAAATCTATCTCTTCGTCTTCAAGTTATACATTTTAGACAGGTACATGTAGCTCGCGTTAAAACTTCCAGTATGAACCCATTCCTCCTAGACGTTTTAGTAGTTCATATTTTATCAGAGCAATGCTTTTATGGGATGAAATCAAAGTCGCCAATACCATAAATGTTTTTTTATGTAGCACACTGAAAATCTTATAATACCTGTAAACGGCAACAACAAATACAATATGAAGAAATATATTTTGTTATGTTGGAAAACAAATCCGATATAACCTACTAAAAGGTGTATAACCTCTGAAGTACGGCTATGACGGTGATTCATAATGTTATATAACGACTTTCAGTCTTATTGCTTTTAGGTATGTAAGGCAGTTTTGTGTAAATTTTACACCTTGGCTGTTTTATAATCTATATTTTGATGAGGAAGACTATTGGCCACTTATGTAGTTTCATTATGGTTACTGAAACACAAATAATTAGAAATAAAAGTAGAGGATCCTACATTTTGAGGAGAAATAGAAAAGGAAATATTTAAGTTATTTACGAGACGTTTATGTATATTTAATTATTG